ATAATTTTTCAATTCCAAAAAATTTAGAAACCATTTCTAAATGGCTTTTATTATGATGTATTGTTTTGCTGAAAAATTTCAGGTAATGGAATTTCATAATCTCAAATTCCTCAATATCATTATCTAGAGCAATACCCTCTTCTCCTAAAATATATCTCCTAATATTATTAGAAGAAGTATTGCTCATCATAATTATTTATGTTGAATAGAAGACTCATTACTCTTTCTTGTGAAACTCCATCATTTATAGGAAATCGAATAAGCTTAGCATAAAAGAAATATATGTTTCAAAATTCTCATTGAAGGAAGTATTGTGATTTTGTGGGTTCTCGAAATGCGAAGATCACAAAACAAATTGACGATGTCATGATTAATGAGTTAAGTAACACCATAGATCATAAACAAGAAAGTATGGATGTAATGGAAGATTGAAGGAGATAGATAATTGAATAATCAATTTCGATATGTATTCATAATTAATCAAATGTATGACGATACCACACTGGGTAACCTGCAATCGCTCAACGCACCTAACCAAGTTCGCAATGAAGGGGACAATTTGCAAATTGTGGTAGAACGAAACCAAAGGCTGATTTTTCGGCTCACAATTGCGACAGTGTCTTAGCGACTTTGGACCCGGAGTGTGCTCGTTATATTTGCGACATTCCACCGGGAAGATTATGGTGCAATTTTTATGTGCAGGGGTTGTAGAGTGATTGATCACGTGTATATGTGATGCGTGTAATAATGTGGGAGATTATGTGCCCAAGGCTTGACATGTAGAAAAATAAATTATTTGCATTTTAAGAGAAATTATTTTGATTACGATAAGCTTCAATAATTGCAATTTTTTAATCCCAAAGTTCTACAATTTTTTGCAACATGTTCCATTCTTTTTATTTTTTTTTTTTGTTGAAGTCCAGAGATGGATTTTATTTATGATGTTGATTACAGTATTCCGAGAAACAAAAAAAGAATAAATTGGATAGCTGTTCAACCCTTTTTAGTTTAACGTAACAGTGTGCATATAGTCATGCTATATTACATTTTGCGCCTAGAAAGTTGTCAATTTATCTATAGGTTGTCATATGTCTATAATGTAACTTAAAAATATGAATATCATCAAGAAACCCAGTGAACGTTTAACTAGGTATTGCTGTTATAATTAGGAAAGAGGATCAAAAAACCCTTGTAGTTTAGTATCTTTAAAAACTCTCATACCCATCGTAGAACTATTTTTGAAATCAAACCTACGCCTTGCTTTAATGAAATCTTCATCAATCATTGAGAGACCTTTGCTCCATAATTTCAAAATGGTAAAAGAAATAATGGAGTAAAACATGCCAATAAGTAAGTCTAACCTCCAATGGTGGTCTAGGTATATGGTAGCCCACCATTGTAGCATTACGAAAGATAAAGCTGCTATTTTTAATGTTACCCACCGTGAAAAGTGACTAACGAAAAAAAAAACCATTACAGCCATTGCAGAGTGCAACGATGGTATTGCCCCAAAAACAATTGGTGAGGCATGAAATCCTTTTGAATGTAAATGCGTCCCCATATGAAGATCCACTCTAGTCAAACCTGCAGCGTACCCAGGTAGGTCATAGTTTGCTTCAGCATTTTCACCTTTAAGAGAAATAAACCAAGGGGGAGCATTTGGGAAAACTAGATGTGTTAGTACTCCCGCAATATTTTGCATTCCGAGGCCAAAGGAGAATAATTTAAGAGCACCAGGTGCATGGAATACGTATAACCAAATAGCCGTAAACAATGGAACAAAGAAATGACCTAGAACATATGAAGCCCACGCTAAGATATCTTTCAGAGGATTGATAGGCTCCTTAAATTCGTAAACTAAATTTAGCATGGACCAACTAGATGCACATAATATGAGAGGGGCCAAGTGCCAGCAATTCATAGATTGAAGTCCACACAATTGAATTTGACTTAATATCTTTTGGTTGATTTTAAGCGTTTGTGATGAAATTAAAGCTGGCTGTTGATTTTCTAATAAATTTAAGTTGTTAAAATGCTTTTGGTCCTGGTACACATCTGAAGCAGAAATCTCAAAACTCAATAATTCAGAAGGTTCGTCAAACTGATTTTGATTTTCCAAGTCCCCAGAATCACATGGGCTTGTTTCCATAGATGGAGAAAGTGTATTGCCCCTGTTTACTTCCTCGTCGAAGTTCCTGATGTTTCTATAAACCTTTGAATACAACAACCAAGTTCCGAACATTAAGCATACTACCAGAAGGCATGACTCGAGAAATGAATCCCGAATATTAAACATGTAGTTATCTAGTCTCATGGCAAACCGAACGTAGATATGGGGCCTAATTTTCTTAGGTATTAACCCTGCATTTTTGAATATCAATAGCCATATAAAAACGGGTAAGAAATTTATCCAAAAGTTCACCACTAATTGAAGAATATTCCTTTCATTTAATGCAGACGAAATTAATCTTTTCGACAAATGAAAAACAAAAAAAACAAACTTTAAGAGTGTCCTCATATCCCATTTAAGTAGCTTCAAGCTTTAGTAGTTTAATCAATTGTATTTGGCTTTAATATATGAAGACAGTCAAAAAAATTGGTATATATTTTTTCGATACATTTGTCTTCAATTTCGAGATGTTAAGCGGTCCTCGGTATTTAACTTGGCTCGTATCCGGGAAATATATCACAAAGTTGATATTTCGGATGATTCGTTTTCCCGGCCGAAACATGGAACCAATCAAATAGATCAAGTTCGCGTAAAAGAAAAATGCCAATAATGTCAAATTTTGAGAAAACCTGCATAGTAATAGTTCTTCTCATCATCATGGAAAACTGGATCATTTTCACCCTCTCCAGCGTCAGCATCACGTGAATCATCCCCCTCTATGGCCTCAGCATCCTGCCCCTCAAAATCAACAAAGTTCCGACCCCAACCCCAGCACATGCCAGACCTGGCCCAAATGGCGTGAACTGAGCACATCGGCCGTGTTGACGGTTGGTGGATAATTCGCAATCGTCCCTTATTGCTCTGTGGACGTGGCCACCAGCGCCCACGTAATGGTCTCGTAGACCTGGCGATACATCTCGAGATCTATCCGTAAGCGCTGCATCAAACTTTTACAATTTAGTACTGTCCTCTACTAAAGTCATCTCAAGTACATCCTCCAGTAAACGAACACATACCACAAAACCAGCGACGACAATTCGGGCTTCCTTTCCTCGATCATGGGATCTTTGGAATTGGCCACTTGTTATAATTGTAGCAGAACCCAAATGTGGTACTGAGAAAATACACATCTCAATACAGTTTGAATGTTCCTTCCACCGTTAACCAATCGATCTCTGTCGACCGTGCCGGCAAACACAGGATATGGAGTAGTGTGATGAGAATAAGCGTCAACTTGGAGTGCACTTGGCAGAACCAGCCAAGTCACAAGAAATCGCTTACAATCCGTTGTCCGTTTTCATTGCTTTCATCCAGCACACCAGTTCACACTTCTCTAAGCACACGCTTGTATACTTCCTAAGAGATGCTGGTGTGTCGCAGAATTGGTCTCATTCAATTGAGCAGGATTTCCACATGCGGGAACTTGCGACATGCATCACACCCTCCTTCTTTCTCCCTGAATCACACTCCTCCCAAAATCTTTTCCGTTTTCGCTAGTCCAATTGCCAGTATTTAATCTGGACTTCTATTCTGCAACGTCATAGATTATTCTATTTCATACTTTTCGCTTTAAATGATTTGACTCTGCTGATTATTTAAGAAAGGCACTCCACTTTAATTTTGATATTCTTTTTTATTGGTGACATTTCTACCATTTCGAATAATAGGAGTTTCAAGGAATTCAATTCAATGATACAATAATGAAAATATATTTTCAAGAAAGTAAAATGATATACACATATACTTATAATAAACTGACAATATGGCAAACAGTACAGAGCTTATGTATAGAGTATATACAATTATTATTTCAAAGATAGCTTCTTTCTATATAAACTATATAAGGTATTAAAAACTCAGGTAATAGAACTTAAAACAGGGGAAACAAATAAATAAAAATGGGATATATTGCAGGAAGAGTCTAGTGATATTTATTTGTTGATATTGGTAGGAGAATTGTTCAACAGGAATATATGTATGCACTTTAAATGAAAAAGAGTACTAAATTTATTAAAAAAAGATTGGGAATAGTATATTGGATACTGAGTATGGTACAGTGTTTTAAAAAGATTGTTTCAAGCACCAGGAAATTAATTCATCTTTTATTTATAGATTCTTATAAATGTAAGCAGGACATGGGGCGACAGTTGCTCTTAATAGTTAAGATAAGACAAGTAATCAAGAATATGGCAACAGTATTGTTGTACTACAACAATTAATTTCAGAGCGATTGCATTAAAATAATTAATATTCCAACAGTAGTTAGAGGAATAGATAATTTCAAACCAGAAGTTCGGTTAGGGCGCAAAGAAAATTATTAAATTTTGATCAAAACATTGTAGCATATTTAGTACCAAATCGTATATTAGGTAATTTTATGTTTATTTGTTTGGGTTTCAAAACTAAACAAAACCACTATTCCAGTTTTTAAATGGTTTTGTTTCGCATCTACCCACTTGCAAGGTATAGTAGTCATCCGCACGCCTCATGAAAAAGATAAAATCTCGTGTCCAAGCGGGCAACTTGCAACCATTTGTGAGACAAGACCTTAACTGTCAGTTTCGGTAATAAGTACATGTCTATATAATTTGAAGAGCAAAATCCTTCGATATTACCGTCATCTCACTCTACTTATAATTCTTCTAACTAACTATCACCCCTCTCACATTTATAGTCTTTCACTGTCAACTATATTAAGTTAATCACTCCGCCTTAAATGAAAGGATATCCAGGATGTATTTTTGACTACTTGTACAATGCTGACTACAGCTAAGGTATTAGCTATGGCTATTGCTATAGGTAGGTAAGGTATGTTTGTATTTAAAAATTGCCATGATATTATAGCGCTTTCAAAAGCAAACAAATTACAATTTTTTTTTGTATGGGTTTGCCATGCTTCCATCCAATCATAGGATATAATAAAAAAGGTTGCAAATTATAGTTGAATTTGTTTTTCTATATATACTATTAAAAACTAGCTTGATGTTTTAAACTTTCTAGTTCTGTCTAGAAGCACTTTCAATATGATACATTTGACTTTTTAATTCGGGTTCTCTAGGTTCGATAATTGCGTTGTCTGCCTCCCTAGTCAAATCAGAAATATCTTCCCCAAATATCTGGGCAATTTCTTCAAACCCAATCCCTTTGTTTCAGGAAAAAAAAAGTAGATGACGACCATGTGTAAAAATAAGAAAACACAAAATACAATATAATATTTCCATGAAATGGAATCCAATCCAAGGTTGTTGACGTAATTGTTAAACAAAACCCAGGCCTGTGAACTCACTGAATACACTAGTGCAGCCTTACCTCTTAAGGTATAAGGAACAACCTCCATGATATATGTATTACCAATGGGGGATAACATATGATAAAATCCTGAGTGGAAATACATTACTGCCACGATACCTCTGCCTAATGATTTATTCTCATGATGTGTTTGTTCATTTATAGCCGACAATATTGTCCAAATGACAAATGTTACCAACATTAACCCAAGGCTTCCTAACATCAAAGCTCTCCGTTTCACATTACCAGAATACAATGCTGCAACTACTCCAAAAACACCCCCATAAACAGTATACCCAATATTGATTTTCAACTTTTCAACGGAATTAGTATAACCAATCCCTTCAAGAACAATTGAAAAATAGTACGATACGAGTGAAGATCCACACAACTGTATAATAGACGGTAACGCAATGGTGAGAAAATAATCTGTGAAGGTTTGTTTTTGTGTGAAACCATGCTAACCAGGAAACTTTCCTTCCACTCTGCTCTTTTATAATTGCGGCTTTTATTTCTACCATTTCAAATTTAACTAAATCGCTATTCCTATCTCCACCCGCATGATACTTAGTCAAAACTTCGAACGCCTCGTTCTCCTTGTTGTGAGCTATAAGCCATCTTGGTGATTCTGGACAAAAGTATACCAAAATTAATTGAATTATTGGACAAGCAGCCTGTAACACTGAAGGCATGCGCCAGGACCAATCGTTATATTTCACATCTGATTCAAAACCAGCATATACAAAAAGTGCCGCCATAAATGCACCAGCAGGAAAGCTCGCTTGCATCATACTTGTTATAGCTGGTCTTTGAGAAGGGTAGGCAGTTTCAGCTAGCAACGGTGCAGACGAAACCTGTGTTGCACCAGAACCAAGACCTAGAAAAATACGAGATACGAGAAACATACCATAGTTCACTGCACCTGCCTGTAATCCAGCCCCGAGAATCGATAAAATGACTCCAACAAGAAGCATATGTTTTCTTCCAATACGGTTACCAACTATTACCAAAAAAGGTACTGAAGCTATTGACCCAAACACTTGACCGTTTGATAAAGTACTCAACCTTTCACCAGAAGGATTATCATAATAACTATTCCAACTGGGAATTGTTTGTAAATTACCCATCAAGGTACCGTCATATCCTTGAGTAACCATACCGAATAGAGCACATCCCAAAAATATATTTAATTTTAACAAATATGGGTATTGAAACCACCACTTTGATAGTCTTGGTGTAACATCTTTCAAAGTCAATTCCTTTTGATCCTCATTATTTAAATAATTATCTCCAGAAGTAAAAACTTCTATATTATTGCTTTTTTCATTACTAATATCTAGCATATTGATCAGCAGCTAAATAAACTTTTGAAATTTATCTAATGTGAGAGAAACTCATTTTATATATGAAGTTTCCTAGGCCATACCTTATATTTGTGAGACTTCTCCAAAAGACGGTAACCTTTTTTTCATAAGTTCCCGCAGAAGAATCCTTTTTTCAAAGGAGGATAATGATGGGGGAAAATCAAGACTCTTATTTTGAGCTGGTCACGCTCCTAGAACGTTATATTGTGAAAAATAGGGTGAATGGTGGGTAGAGAAATCGGAGATTTTTTCTCGTCCCCCACCAAATTCGTTGAAGGTTGGTTGTTACTTAAGACGGTTTTGTTTAGAATTTTAGTCTGCTTCAGTCAATTAAAAAATGAGAAATTTATTGGAAAGCCACATTGGGGTCGGCGTAGAGAAGCACATTTGGCCGGATGCATTTCTTTTGTAATTTAGTACCTACTAGGAAATCTCTACTCATAAAAATATAGATACGATAATTTTAACTGTAGTTTCCTTATTTGTGGTTGGTGGAAGTGTATTACAAGCATTATATCTGCCTCTTTGTCCACTGATGAAACTTCTGAGTGGGTTGGGTTTTTTGAAATGAATTCGACTGTTAGAAATTTATATCAAGAAGTTATTAAGATTATAAAACTCTCTGTTAAAAAAAAAGGCATCGCTAAAGACTTTTAGTTATATATTTGCTACATCATTCTATCATCGCCTTTAAAGGGAATATTACAGCCAAATTAGTAGGCTTAAGATTTTAAAGTTTTTAATAAATTATTTTCGTCTGGAACTCCAAAGTTACCAAAATATTATTTCTATTAAAATATGTCGAGTAGGATGAGCATATACTACACATGACAACTTTGTTGATGTTTTGGCTGCTTCTGTTTAATTTAATTAAGGCATTATAATTTTTGATGCGACCAAGTTACTGTTTGCTTCTGATTTACAAAACTTCCTTTTTTTTACATCTATTAAATATAAATCAAAATTACATCATTGGAATTTGTAATTTTTACTCGTGAATTGACTTGCGCTGATAAAATAGTTATTGATATTATTTCCATGCATTATACAAACAGCAAATTCACAAGACGCGGAAAAGTAGTCTTTCAAATAATTCTGGTAAGGTTAATGATATAAATGCCTTAAGAAACCACTAGAGGCTGTGGTGAATTATACTTTTTACACAAAATTGATTGGGGTAACT